GAGAGAGAGAGCATGATGCAGCACACACCCTCTCTCTATCACTCCAGACTACGTAGCACGCATACTCCCTCTCTCTCTCTCTCTCTCTCTCACACACACACACACACACACACACACACACACACACACACACACACACACACACAGCACTGCCATCTTCCCCCGAGCACAGAGAGATGGTTAATGGAAGGCCCAAAATTGGATTTTTCGCCGCATCACCACAAGCAATGTCGTCAAAATTCCGCAAAGAAACAATGCAGACTCATAATACAAACATCAAAAAACCAAAAAGCCTGAAACAGGCAAAAAAAAACGTAAAAAAGAAATCTCAAAAGCACTATAAAATTATATTCGGAGTAGCTTTCGAAGTCCGCCAATTTTTTTTCCCGAATTCGGTGTTGTTACCAACTTTTTCGTTACTGGTCCAAATAAACTGCCTGCAGATATAACCTAAACTTCCCACATACGTATCACCAAGAAAAAAAAAAAAACAGCCAAAATTTCAGAGAAATATGACAGTTTCGCACTGTTTCGGTGAAAAATTGGCCGAAAATGACACCACCTATTAACAATTAGTGTCTCAGAATCCAAACCATGGATGGTTCTCTGCCCCAAAACACAGATCTTCTATCTGGTATTTGATCCTATGAAATAGGATGGACAATACATGCAGTCACCGCGCTACGGAAATCCCTACTTTCACAAGCTGTGTTTGTTTGCCAATAACCACAGTACACCATGTTTCCGAAAGTTCTGTCATTGCGGCCTGGCCTGCAATCGTGCAGCTTTGAGTTGTGACAACTGTGGCACAGCACGATTATGAGGTCGACTTATATGGTTGAGACGAGGGGAAGGTCAGGTGAGAGACGGCAATGCTCCTTCAGTAGCTTGCGAGAGAGTTTGTGCTTATTTTAACACCACACACATCGCGAGTCCTTCCTCTTCTCCCTTTTCATGTACCTGCAGTTCAGTATCCTCTGTCTATGAGCATGTTCACTGCCTGATAGTTTAACCGTTTAACTCTTTTGACATGCATCCTGCTAAAAGAAGACTTTGTTTCCTCAAAAGTGGATAGGAGGTAAGTTGCTATCATTACACAATTGTTTTGTCAAAAGGGGATAGGTGGTAAGTTACTATTATTATGCAACTGGAGAGTATTGAACAGGATTTTCAACTCTGAATACGTGGGCCAACAGTCATAATCGTGTACTGGACAGGTTTGGTGGAATGCAGGACAAAACACCGATCAAATTCCGGGATGCGATGCAGCCATCACAACACATTCTCTAATTCTCTTCCACAGCGCCACTGTAATTATTACCTGGATGACGATCGCCATGTCGACGGTGAGGCACTCCACGTATCCCAACACCAGACCGATAATTGATCGCGCAACTGAGGACGATCCTATGTCCACGTCAATCTGCAGAGGCCCAGAAAGACCAAATGTCAGTGAAATACATCAACAACAGATGAAATGAAGCCTTCGAAAGCGACCATGAAGAAATCGGCAGTGTTCAGCACCCGACTGCCACTGGCAACACCCAGCTCATGTGGCTGAGTGGTACACATATGTAACTGATAGTAAACAGATCATAAGTTCGAACTTCGAATCCTGATGGAATCCGGATCGGCTGAAACAAATACAACAATGTTACGGGCTACGCCCTTTTCTTTGAAAGAAGAAAAGGGGAAAATATTAAAATAACCGCCGACAAAAGTGGCATTTATGTGGGAACACCTGAATAGAAACCTAGGATCATCACTTTTGATCCTGTGCACATTATAGCTGCATTTGGCACAACTTTCCGTCCAGATGCAGAGATAATGTACTGAAGACAGTTCTGATGTCAGAACTGTCTTCAGTACAGAGATACTGTCTACTTGCACGATTACCTCCTATCGTCTTCACCCGAATAAAACGGCCGGTCATTATCACTGCAAATGGACTGAAAGTTGTGCCGAATGCAGCTATAATGACCGGGCACTCTATTCGGGTGAAAACTGTAGTGCAGTTTGGATCTTCCATCCTGGCTCATCAACTTTAATAAAATCCTTCTACACCCAACCACTGTTGCAGTGCCCCCACAGTACAACCTTCTGCGACCCCACCATCCACTCCATATCCCCTTTGCGGGCAGGGCCCAATCCTGTGCACAGAACGTCTGAAAAATGCACCCTATTCTTTTCTGCCACTCTGCTGCCTAGCAAAGCATCCACACATCCATACTGAAAGGGAGCGCACACACACAGAAAGAAACACATGGAAAATGAAAAAAAAAAAAAAAAAAAAAAAAAAAAACCCAGAAACACATGGAAAGCACAGTGCACATGCACAAACAGATGCGTGCGCAGGTATTAACAATGTAATATCCAGTACTATCCACACAAAAACACATATTACCACTATCGCATACAAGCACTTCTCTCAAGGGTATCGATAATTTTGGGTGACCTGGTTTGTCCAAATACACCATGTAAATGCATCCTAGGCAGATTGTGGAGGTTCAACGTCCTGATGAATCAATTGCAAGGAATATGAGCGAGGGCGATAGACAGAAAACCAAGTTGCAAAATCACGAAGTAGTTTAGATGGTCATGTAACAAGCAGAGAGAACAATGCACCAAGATTCCATCCAAACAAGAGCAATGCAATGAACTCGAGTGTCAATGCCAACGCTCCCTGGTCCCACCAACACTGTATCCAATGTCGCTCCTACTGTCTGGCGCCCAGTGCCCAGCCTACTCCACTCAGCCTATCTACCCTGTCTACGTTCTTGCGACTGGATCAAATCGAAGTGGAAGACCAATGTACATGACGTCAACACCAATGCTGCCAACCAGCATACACCAAGTACGTTCTCTCTCCTCCCCTCATCACACCTTGATCCCCCTGCATGCGCCTCCTACCTAAAGACCACCATCGCCATCACCTGCCTGCGCGCCTGCAGCCCGGCTATGGCTGCCGTGCAGCCGCTGCCTCAGCAGCGCCCCTCACCTCAGTGCCCTTGCGTGCGTCCGCCCAACAGCGCCCATGCAGACACTAGCGCTGCAACGCAGCAACGTGTCTGGATTGCCTGCCAAGGCCAGAATGCCTGCCCAGGGGGCACACACTTTCCCTTATGGAAAGTGTGCTCGCTTCTAGCTGGCCTGGCCAGGCATGTGGGGGCCCAGTAGCTTGCCTCTGGCCCCAAGTGTCTGCACCCAGGCCCAGTCTCCGATACTGGCCTGGGCCTCGTGCAGTTAGGCACGTCTTAGGCAGCCACCCAGCTTCCCAAGTGTTTGCAGCATTCTCATTGGCTCGCGGCGAGAGAAGGTTAACAACAGTCGTATTTTTCATCACCAATTCAGGACACCCTTCACCACTTGAGGATGCAGCCTGCCTAAACAGGTGGTTTTCAGGGTCTTCGGACCTTTCACCACTTCAGGACCATTCAGGTCTGAAATTCTGAATGGTCCTGAAGTGGTGAAAGTGCCGAAGACCCTGAAAACCACCTGTTTAGGCAGGCTGCATCCTCAAGTGGTGAAGGGTGGTTTTCATGGTCTTCGGACTTTTCACCACTTCAGGACCATTCAGGATTTTCAAACTGCCCAAAACTCTCACTTGACCACTTCAGGACACCGTTCACCACTTCAGGATTCAACCTGCCTAAACAGGTGGTTTTCAGGGTCTTCGGACCTTTCACCACTTCAGGACCATTTAGGATTCTCAGACTGCCCAAAACTCTCACTTCAGAATTTTCATTCCTGAATTTTCAGCTACCCGATAACCGCTTGTGATGGAAAATGTTGAAAACAGGCCTCACAAGATATTCAGGCCCGCCTCCACTTTGGGCGGGCATGAGCTTGCTGGGGGGCCACATCCAGAACACTTGTTTGGATGATAAAGGTTCCACAGGGCTCGTTCCTCGCACATTGACAGTTTGCTGAAAAGATCTCTCATAGTCATGCTTTTTTCCCAGGTTACGTTTAGCAAACCCGTGACAGAGGTCACAAGCCTGCAGCGCTAATTTCAGAGCTTTCCACTTCCCACCGAATGTAACATACAACTTTCATCGTACTACGATCTCCATAGGTAATTCAAGATTCCAATGTCCTAATCTATTACTAAGATTTCTTTTCAAGTTCAAAGAATCTGAATCTTGGAATTCAAGCTCTCCTTCGCAAAATTTCCGCAATTCCTAATGTTCAGGAGCTCACCAAAGGCGAGGAGCTAAGGGGAAAAAAGATCCTAAAAGAGGTAGAACACAGAGGGCATCATCACTGGATCAACAACGACAAAACAACAACCCTCCATAGGATGGCTGTAACTAGCAGAGAGGCCAGAAGGGGGCAAAAACAGAGACAGGGCAGAGGAAGGAGGAGCCAGAGGTCCACAACAGAAAAGCAAAGAAGTCGAAACTTTGCGGACTGGTGATAAGGAGGGTTTAGCCTGGCCATGGGTCTGTGTGTTGCAAGCGGTGGGTACAACACAAAGCACACCGGACGGCCGTGCGGTCTGTGCGCTTGCAAGTGTGGTTTCTATTCACATGTTCCATTCCCCTGAACCCTCGAGTCTTCTTCTCTGTGTTTCTCAATCTGGTTACTATTTTTGCCGTCACATGTGGTCGTACAGAGCATTGGATATGTGTTTCTCAATTTTCTCACTATTTTCCTTGTCATATCTGGTCATACAGACCCTAAGATAAGGGAACTTTCATGTATGGGCATGCTGCTCGCCTTGTTCAACATAAACTTATTAAAGCTTGAGAAGAAGAATCAGAAGCTCTGATAAGAACTGTTAGGTCGTCTGCAAAGAGGGTGGTGGTTGGTAGATGAAGTGGGTGCCCTCTTTCGTCTTTGATGCCCTCTAAACGTTCTATGGATTCGTCATTTCTGAGGAATGATGCAATGGCTTCCATAACAAAGAGGAAAATAGGTGCCGCCAGTGGGTCTCCTTGTCTTACTGATCTGGTCATTTTGTAAGGGTTGGACAAGAATCTGTTGATCTGGACTATACCCTGTGCCTCATTGTATAGGATTCTCACCCATTTTCAGAAATGTGGGCCTATCCCCATTTTCTCCATGCAGGCTTGTAGGAAAGACCAGTTGACTTGGTCATAGGCTTTCTCGAAGTCAAAGTATAATTGTATAATAGGGCTGCAGTAATTTTCTTTTGACTTAGGATTCTTGTGGTTTCGCATAGGGTCATTGCATTGTCGAGGATGTATCTACCCGGGATAAAGCTTGTTTGGTCTATATGGAAGTAGGAGTTTGTTATACTGTTTAACCTTGTGGCTAGAAGTTTGGCTAGGATTTTGTGACTACGTTTAGTAGGGAGATGGGTCTGCAGTTCCGAATATCCTCTTTGCTACCTTTCTTGAAGAGAAGGGTGACTACTCAGGTGCTTAGGTCTGGGCCCAGGGATTCCTCTTCCCATGCTCTGTTCAGGAAGCGAAGGAAAAGGGGTCCCAGGGTGTGCCAACTTTCCATCCAGAATTCCTTGGGGAGACCATCTTTGCCCGATGCTTTGTTGGGTTTTAGATCTTTAAGCGCTTTTTGTAATTCGTCCATTCATATAAAGCTCTACCATAATTTTTAGCAGATAAACCTAATTTGGGTTTAATAGTACATCCCAATAATGGGCGTCCATATTTATTCAGTTTATCTCTTTCAACCTGAATACCATGAGGTGGCCCTTGAAAAGTCTTTGTATAAGCAGGAGGAATACGTAAATCTTCCAGACGTAAAGCCCTTAATGCTTTAAATCCAAATACATTACCTACAATAGATGTAAATAAATTTGTTACTGATCCTTCTTCAAGGTGAGCGGCATGCAGAGGGCAAAACCGACGGTCTGAAGGCTGCAAGTATCATTTCTGCATGTTTTAGTGTGCATGCATGCGCACAGAGAATTATCTATATATACTACTAAAGAAAACAGCGGGTCTCCCGTGACGCCCCATGCAAGACCCGGATCCCAGGTTGGGGAACCCAGTAGCAAGGGACACGACAGGCAGAGGGCAAAGCCGACGGTCCGACGCGACGCGGGACGAAAAAATCCGGCCAGCAGTGAAGACGAGTAGCAGGCAGAGGGCAAAACCGACGGTCCGACGTGACGAGGCCCGAAAAAAGTCGGGCATGATCATGATGTTCTTCCGATAGATTCAACAGGTTTTGTTCATCCTACCCACTACCATGAGGCCACCCGCGACGTTGGGGACTTACCCATTCTCTCTCTCTCTCTCTCTCTCTCTCTCTCTCTCTCTCTCTCTCTC